TTTTTTTTTTTTTTTTTTTTTTTTTTTTTTTTTTTTTTTTCCTTTTCCTTCTTTTAATGTATTCATTTTCTTCCTTCTGCAGATGTACTTGAAGCAGCTCAGAAGGTCGTCGATGGTCAATTTGCTGCAGACCGTGGAGTAGCGACGACCGTCTATGGAAAATGGTGCATGGTATGGCATGTTTCAGACAAACGGAAACAGGAGCTCGCCTAGTCCCCGTTGTTGAAAGACAGTTGAACTAGCCTGGCATCGGTTCCCACGAGAACATCATTTGCCTGCGCCTGCAATGGGTCGGCCCTCCAATTCGGCTGTAGAGCGATGTACAGTCTTCTGCCGCTTTAGCCGAGTGTGCTCTCGTCGACGGAGAATTTGGCCCTTTTCACGTCTTTGAACGGCGTGAGCGTCACGAGGTCATTGCAGCTCACGGGTCAATTCGGAGTGCAAGGTACCAATCAGATCACGGTGGCAGGCAGCCGATATAGCCGAAATTTTGTGGCTGGGGCGCAACGATGGAAGCCGCGCAGCGGACAATGTTATCAGATTAAGTAGCGCGATCTGATAAAGTCAAAGCATGTGCTCGAGTCGATCGTGCAGAAGCGCCATTCCTTGGCAAACGCGCTAATGCACACCCTCGGCTTCCACGCGCTTAGCCGAGCCGCTTCGGGTGGGGGACGAACCCGAATTTCTGGATCATCCAGGCAAGAATGGAAAAAGGCAAAAAGACAACAACGGAAAAAAGTAAAAACAAAAATGGCCTGAAAAAGAATAAGCCCTGCGTAAAGCAGGGGCAAAGGCATGGGTGCCAGCGCTCCGTAGTGCTTTTGCCAGTATGCTCCGATGATGAGCACAGTTGTGCAAGCTCATCCTGCATTGTTCATAGGACTCTGAAGCGGACCTCAATCAGCGTGGGGGCTTCCTAAGAGGACGCACACCAGTTTCTGTAAAGTTCACGAGAGGCTCCTTTCTTGTGGATTCGCGAGGACTTTGCTAGCCTGTGCCGGCACAATGACTTGTCGATGATGCAACACACCTCGTCGCAGTGTGATTTGGCCTCGGAACTATACGACAAAATGGAACTTGTCGAAGCCTCAACTTTCAGCGTGAGCTTTGTCGAGTCTCTTCTGTAGAAAAAGGGCCGTACCGTCGAATGCTCGACGGACCGTCCTCTTCCCCTCAAGACTCGCGCACAAGCTCGTATTCCCACTTTCCGACACCGAAATGACGAAGCCTCAGACCATTTCCGCGAGCCCGGCAGTGCGTCAGCCAGGTCTACGCGCGACGTTCTGTCCACGCAAGGAGGAGAGAGTGTTTCTCGCACGCGGAGCGCACCTCTTCACCTTGCCTGGTCGCCAGGTTCGCGTCAGGGTTCAAGTCGACGTCGACGCCGAATCGGACGAGGAATCCATCAATGCGTCCGAGACTACGATCACGATCTCGATCGCACAGGCCGAACAAGATGCCTTCAATGCTGTGGCCAGATGGGTCAAGTTGGATCGTCTTGCCAAGACAAGCTTGCACGGCGTTGTCAACGAGGATCGGGCCACCTTTCAACACGCATGGGCCTTCGAGCTGCTCAATGAGACCAGTGATCCACTCAGGGTAATCTGGGCTGCCATCTATGCCTGTAAGTCAAGTCTCAAAGCAGCCGGGGTTTTGCCTTCACACGAACTGACCATGGCATGACTTGCTGGTTGCCTTTCCCGATGCCAGTTTGGATCCGACACAAGTGGTCTGATCGTCTCCCTGTGTTGTTCCAAGGCCAAGTTGCTGCTCAACAGCAATTGCATCTAGTCGCCGTCGGTTTGTGCTTTGCTTCGCCCACCGACGCAGACCTCGTCCTCCTCGATCGCAACGCATTCTGGCAAGGAGCTGGTGCACCCTCCGATCTTCACTGGCTGCAGACCCCTGTGCCCTCGAATGGTCTCTTCCCGTATGTCTCCGCATTTACCCAGAGCGCCTCTCCGCCCGTCCTCGCGATGCACCCTTTGCGACCGCCCAAGCCGGCTCCCGGCTCTGTGGTGTACTCTCGCTACGTCTTCTCCTGCTCCCAACACCTCGAGCTGGTGCATATCGATAGGTCGAACTCGCAGCATTTTGAAGCGTACTGCAGGTGGCAAAACAGCGATCGGGTCAATCACGGATGGCGTGAAAAGGGGCCCGAAGAGAAGCACAGCAAGTACATCGAGGAGAAGAATGCTGACCCTCACGCCATGGGGGTCCTTGTTCTCTGGGACGGCGTCCCGGCGGGATACGGCGAGATGGTCTGGAGCAAAGAAGACGGGATGGCCGCTTTTGTTGGCGGCTTGGGCAACTACGATCAAGGCACCCACCTCCTTATCGGCGAGGAGAAGTTCCGTGGCAAGCACCGCTTCACAGCTTGCATGGTGTCGCTCAAGCACGCTTGCTTCCTTCGTGACCCCCGAACAGAGGTCGTCGTTGGTGAGCCCCGCTACGATCTCGACATCATTCCCCTGTTGGCTACCTTCTTGCCGCAAGAGATCCGAAAGGAAGTTGAGCTGCCCCACAAGCGCGCGGTATTCTTCGTCTTGCGACGCGACCGCTTCCTGGAGGAAGGCATCCTCGAGTGAAGCTAACAATTCCTTCCATCAGGTCGAGCTTCGTTCGCACTTCTCAAATGACGTGAAATTCAGATTTGTATCGCTTGCTCGCACGTCGCCCACACGCTTGATTCTGTTATTGAGCAGAAGGAGTCTTTCGATTCTGATGGTGTCATATCTGAGCGACGGCAACGATGCTACTTTCCGATAAAGATTGGCTTTCGCTTTTGGTTAAAGGCATCCAGCGCCTCTCTGCGGTCCTTACTCTCGAGCAAGGGCTCGTAACAAGCCCACTCTAGATCAAGCCCTCGGGTAAGCTCCACGTTGGTGCCCATACTGATGGCCATCTTTGCAGCTCGAAGGGCGAGAGGCGCGGAGGGGATCATCTGCTTGGCTAGCGCCTGACACAGCTCCAAGCAGGACGAGCCTGGAGAGACATGGTCGATGAGACCAAGCTCTTTGGCTTGCGACGCATCAAGCTGGGCGCCGGTATAGATAAGCTCTTTTGCTCGTTGCTGCAAGGTCGACAGAATAGAGACGAAGGGTGTCAGGATCCTTTGGTCAGGAACAAGAGGCACAGACAGAACAGGGAACTCACCATGCCTATGATTCGTGGAGCTCTTTGGGTTCCGCCTGCCCCGGGGATGATGCCTAGCTTGACTTCCGGGAATCCAATCTTGTCCACCGAGGCAGCTGTTGGTGATCAGAGCCAATCGGACAGGGACGAGGATGCTTGTCGTCAGCGAAGTACAGTCACTCATGACATCTCTGGGCTTGACCAACTCACCTGCAATGCGGAAATCGCAAGCCAAAGCCAGCTCCAGTCCTCCACCTAGGGCCGGTCCTTCGATCGCGGCAAGAGTGGGGATTGGCAGCCTCTCGAATTCATCGAGCATCTGCCTGACATCTTGCAGAAATTGGACCACTTCGTTGTCCGACATCTGCCTCCTCTCCTTTAGATCTGCACCAGCACAGAAGGTCGGTCCTTCGGCGCGAAGGATGAGGACGCGTGGCATCGAGTTCTGCGAGCTAGGCTCGGTGATCTTGCGAAGCAATGCCGCCAGACATTGTACAATGTCTTGGAGTAAAGCGCGCGAGATGGCATTGCGCGCCTGTGGTCGATTCAGCACGAGATGATAGACCCCACTTAGCTCTGCGGAGGGGTCAGCCGCGAGATACGTCAACGGAGACGAGGTCATGAAGGGCGAGGGCGGATCGAAGAAGTACTTCGGGAGAGGGTGGTTTCGACGACGCAGAAAGCCCGGCTGAAGTACTATCTCTCAATGATAAAGACTTCCTAGAGCAGCAATACAGCTTTACAGCTTGCCTGAGTACTTTCAGGCTCTCGAGGCCTCTTTGGCTTTCGAAAAGCTTGCATCTGAAGATGAGCCAAAGGACAAAGAGTGGAAGAGGATCGATTGGCGCTTCGGCCGGCATCTTCGACGGGAGATCGTGCTGGAGCTAAGAAGCGAGCTTTGAGCATGTTCCTCCGCCCTTTCACACCTAGTGCGATTGGGTCAGCTTGGGCTGGGTTCGGCACACCGGTCTTCTCCGCCAGAGCAAAGCCAAAGAGAGAACCCGTGTTTCGCTATCCTATTGTGACGCGAGAGTATGACGAGTTGAGTATACACTGCAGCTTGCTGCGTTGCTCGGCACCTTTTCGAGGCAACAAATGCCGTTTCCTGCAGCCCCAACCACTTATGGCGACTCTGGGTGAACCCCTTCCGTTCGGCAACCCAGAAAATGTGGAAATGGTAGAAAAACCCAAAAACGATGAATAATTAATTAAAACGGGTATACAGTAGACCTGTGTGGGCCGCCCATTTGGTTCTCAGCGTGGGGGACAATGCAAAGACATCGGACGCAGCATGCGACGCACTGCCGACGCCCTGCAGCAGCGAGGTGCAGAATTGAGGGGACGTAGGTCGAGTAGGTCTCTGCGAACAAAGCCTTTGCCACACGTTGACTCTTCGGAAGAGGAGACCGAAGCTATGTCCGTCGGAACCTGAGCAAAAGGGAATCTGCGAACGACCCAGAAGAGGTGTATGGAGCTCGAGCCAACAGGCGCTTGCCGTTCTTTTCGTTACCACGAAGCAAACTATAGCCGACCCGCTCATCGTGTCTGGAGCATAATGCCGATGATGTCGTCACTTCTCTCGCCTGTATCGACCCCTTTCCGAGGCGTCCCGGACCAATCAAGCAACAACACGCTTGGTTGCGGCTCCGAGAAGAACAGCAGCCGAGTCACGCTGCAGCGTTGTCAAAGACTGGCGAGGTCAGCCAGGTAGTTGAGCCCGGTAGTAGCTGTTGCAGTGCGACCGCAGCGGTCCGAATGGTCTCTGTCTTGCCGGGGAGATCGGAGACGTGCCGTTATCTGATTACACAGATTTGATTGTGTGTGAGAGCCGTTTCAATTTGTTTTATTTTGAAATTTTGCTGTCGGGGATGGCGTTCAGCAGCGACGCAGTCATCAGAGCCCTTCGAGCTGCCAGCCATTCCTCTGATCGCATAGAAGCTCTATGCATAAATGCCTATATACTCGCGAGAGCTTGCAAGCTTGCCTTGGGTTCAACACTGCCGACGACGATCCATCAAGTCAAAGCGACATCATCATATCCACCTGAAAGAACTCAACCCGAATTTCTTCCTCGCCTAGGAAATCGGAAATGATGGTCAGGAGAACGCTGAGCCGCCTACCTGCGCTGCATCCTTACTCGACTGGTGCAGCGACCGGAGCTCCGGATGGGGATAGGACCTTCAAGTTTACGCTCCGAGCAAGCCAGGATTCGGTCGAAAGGCTTGCGCACCCCGATGCTGAGCACGAGCTGATCTCTTTGCTGGCCACCTTTGTAGCGCAGCTGGTCGGCTGCAACGCGGACGAGGTGCTTTTCAAACTAAATGTTGATGCTAGGCAATCGTGCCTGGCGTCCGCAGATGGTGTTGAGGAGCAAGTTGTGTACGGTGGAGAGATGCCGCCCCCAGGTATCGCAATCAGCTTCACTACTGCGTTTGGCCGAGCCTCGTCCCCAACATCGTCCGTCAATGACGACGTGACCATCGCAGTCGAATGCATCCAGGGGGACGGAAAAGGCACTGTCGAGGTGAATATTCGCTTCGCTCAAGCCGTGCCTGCTGAAGCGGCTCGGGGTATCTGTGCTCACTTTTGCCGTCAAGTCCTCAATTCGGCCATGCCCGAATCAGAGATACCTCTTTCGGTCCTGAACTCGGTTGCAATCACCAATGTCACAAGGGACACGAGACTTCACCAATCGTTTTTGGAGCAAGCACGTCGATTCCCTGAACGGATCGCCGTCCAATTCCTCGAGAATCTCGATCAAGACGGTTCGGCCAACTTCAAGACCCTCACGTATGCTGAATTACGAGATGCGGCCTTCGTGCTCGCAAACAAGCTCCGCAAAGCACAAGCAAAGAGCAAGAAGCAGGGTTCTATGCAAATTGTCGTGCCAATGATTATGAGCGCCTCGCTCGAGCTGTACGTTTCCTACATTGCGATCCTGGTAGCCGGATTTGCCTTTTGCCCGCTGCCAGCCGACGCACCCCACGTTCGACTTGCGCTGTTGCTTGAGCAGCTCGACACAGCTGTGCTGCTAGGAGACAAGGATTCAGACCCACCGCAGTGGATGTCCCCATCTGTAGAGTGGATCAATGTCACCGACACGTTGGCAGAAGTCGAGCATGGAGACAAGGTTCCCACCTCCCAGGACATCGGGCTCGACAAGCACGAACAAGAATGTGCGTACGTGCTCTTCACGAGCGGCACCACGGGTACGCCCAAAGGTGTCCAGATCTCGCACTACTCTGCAAGCGTATCGATCGCAGCGCATGCAGACCACCTCCACCCAACGCTTCTACAACGTGGTTCTGCGACCTCGTCTTCGACCTTCAAGTGGTTCCAATTTGCATCCACCGTGTTCGACCCTTCGGTCATGGAGATTTTTGTCACGCTCTCCGTTGGCGGCACGCTATGTTCCGCTCCTCGTGCTCTCACGCTCTCCGATCTTGAGACCGTCGTGCGCATCAGCGGCGCTGACATCATGATGGCGACACCAAGTGTCGCCACCCTGCTGCGCCCGCACCAAGTGCCGAACCTGCGTTTCTTGTGGACAATGGGCGAAAGCCTGAACGCCACCGTCATCCGAAACTTTGCCGCCGATGATGCACGCACCTGCTTGGCCAACGCGTACGGGCCCACAGAAGCGAGCGTCAACTGCACGCTCCTGCAGCCATTCCCAGCCGACTACCGCGGATCCATCATTGGAATGCCCATGTCGTCCTGCTCGTTGGCCATTGTCCACGACTATCGCAATCCAGGCAGCGCAGCTACGCAGCTCGAGACAGTCCCTCAGGGCGTGACGGGCGAGCTTGTCATCGGGGGTCCACATGTCGGCATGGGCTACCTCAACATGCCAGCAGCAACCGAAGATGCCTTTACGACCTTGCCGCCGCTTGGGCGCGTGTATCGAACCCAGGATCGAGCCAGGCTGGTTTGGGATCTTGATGGACGTCCTCTGATCGAGATCTTGGGCCGGATGAACGCGGAGCAGGTTAAGCTAAGCGGCAGAAGAGTCGAACTTGGCGAAGTGGACTCCGTGCTCCAGTCGAGTGAACTCATTCGGAACGCGGCCAATGTCGTTTGGCGACCGCCGACGTCGCACGGCCAAATCAGTGGAAGCGAGCGACTCGTATGCTGTATCGTGCTTGCCGGGGCTTCCATCAGCGGCAAAGACGCAGAGGCTGACTGCAGAGCCGTTGCGGAGGCGCAGCTTCCTCCTCATATGCGTCCTTGGAAGTATATCGTACAATCCAACCTACCTGTCACGATCTCTGGCAAGTCGGATCGGAAACGTCTTGCTCAGCTCGTTTCCGAGCTCTTGTCATCATCCACCGGCAATGATGGCGGCATCATCAGCCCTCAGCACCAAGAAGCCAGTCTTACCGACGATCTGACTTCACAAGCAGTGGTGCAAGCTATCAAGACAGTATGCCAGCTTGAGGCGAGCTCCATCTCGATGTCCGCCGACCTTTTCGAGCTCGGAATGGACAGTCTTGCCGCAATGCGCCTTCTGCAGCTACTCAGACGCGACGAGACCACCGCTTGCGCTGCCGGGGGACTAGATGTAGCACAAGTCTTGAGAGCTAGATCCTGCGCGGATCTCGCTCGCTTGATCTCGGGTGCCACCAACCCCAATGATGCCGACGATCACGGCAAATACAAAAGTTCGATGGCTCAGCGCGAACAAGATTGGAGCAAAGCACTCGAATGCTTCAGAGACCGTTGCCATGGTGCGGTCTTATCGGCTCTTTCAAGCGAGGATACGAGATTACGAGTGCAGAGTACCCTACCGACTACAGCAACGCAGTCCGGCATGCTCACGAGCTTCCTCACTCGAGCTGAATCCTCTGACCTCAAGAGACCGTACATCAATCACACGGTGTACCACATGGCATCGTCATTGGATGCTCGCAGGCTCTACGATGCTCTTCGACAGGCGCTTCAAAGGCACGACATCTACAGGACCGTGTTTGTGCCGATCGACGATCAGCTTTCCCCCTTTGCACAGTGCATCCTCTCACCTGGTCCCGACTACGGCAACGTCAGCACGTGTTCCTCAGCCACAACTCTGACCGCGTGTTTGGAGGAGCACCTAACAAGGGTTGAAGGCAGCATCAGTCTCGATCAGCCCCCTTGGCATCTCGGTCTTTTGCTTCCCGCAAGGGATACCGATGATGGCGAATGCTTGGTGGTACTTAGCATGATGCACGCCATCTTTGACGGAGGAAGCCTTGACCTTCTCCAACAGGAGGCTACCGACATGCTGCACGAAGATTCCTGCAGCTCATCTACCACTTCTTGTCGCACTCAGCTCGAGAATGCGGTGAAGCATCACTACACGAGCGATCTGGAAGGATCTCGTCGTTTCTGGAAGGAAAAGCTGGATGGTGTCGGCAGGACGCGGTTTCCGTGCGTCAATGGCCACAAGTCGGCGATCCAGGCTGGTCTTTCAAAGAGCAGTGATGTGATCGAAATGCTTTCGAGGTCGTCTATGGACGCCGTCTCCAGACAAGCACGATGCCAGCGCACGACGGTGCTGGCGCTGTTGCAGACCGCGTGGAACCTCCTTCTCGCAGCCTACGCTGAAGATGAGGACATCGAATACTTGGTCAGCGGTAGTGTTCAGTCCGGACGCCTTGACGAGGAGACACGCTTCTGCATGGCCCCCACTTTCAACGTAATCCCCTTCATCACCGAACTCGGAAACAAACAAGGCGGGTGCAAGGACAAGAGAGTCGCACAGCTGCTTGCGGAAGCGACGGAAGCGAGCACGGCTGCATTGGACCATCTCGAGATTCCGCTCGGTGCACTGGCAACCTCTGGATTCATGCCTTTCGATACCTTGTTTGCAGTACAGCGATTCGACGGCTCAGAGTCGTGCGATCAACGACAACAAGCTCCTGTAGCTTCGCCTTGGAATTCGATCTCTTATCCGGTGATGGCGAACGATTTCGCTGTCATGGTGGAAATATGGCCGGCTTCCCCAGCAGAGGGAGAGTTGCGACTGCGCCTGACATATTCCCAATCCGTGCTAGATGGTCCTTCTGCTCAGCTGCTACTGCACCAGTACGACGACATACTGCATCGCCTGATGCAGGATCCCGACTCTACGTCCGTCGAACAAGTGATCAATGGCGAAGGCTTGCGACGATCTGCCATCTCCAGCTCTTGCGGTACCGAGAGTACCAAATACGGTGCCGAGATGACCTTGCTTCACTCCCAGTTCGAGGGCAAAGCTTTCACAAATCCCAGTGCCATAGCTCTCGAATTCTTCTCAAGCTTGGATGCTAGCGATGCCGACTCGGCCACGCTGCAGCGCTGGACGTATGGCGAGCTGAATGCGCGAGCGAACCGTCTCGCCCGTCTCTTGTTGTCGATCACCGGCAAACAGACGCTACGAGATCAGCCCATCCCTATCTGCATGGAACGATGTGCAGAGCTATACGTGGCGGTCCTCGCGATCCTCAAAGCCGGCGGAGCTTGGTGTCCGATCGATGTGCAGTCGCCACGGGCAAGACAGCTGGAACTCATCGCTAGGACACGGAGCAGCATCATCTTGATCACCCCGGCCACTTCAGCCAGGCTTGGCGTCATTCAAGCGGAAAGGCAGGCCGAGCTGGTTCATGTCGATGTCTGCGACCCTTGTCGATCGAGCCACTTGTCCTCAGACAATCTTCACCCCACAGCTACGCCGGACAGCCTTGCCTACCTGATCTGGACGAGTGGCACCACAGGGGCACCAAAGGGAGTCATGATCGAGCACTGTGCTGTTGTGACGAGCATGCGAGCTCTGCAATACCACGTACGGCCGCCGCATCAAGACAAGCCCCCACGTTGCCTTCAAGTCTCGGCATATACATTTGACGTGTTCGTTCAGGATCTGTTCTGGACATGGGGGCTTGGCGGAACCGTCGTCACATCCACGCGTGAACTTATGCTGGGTTCGACAGCAGAACTCGTCATGGCATCGCAGGCGAATCATGCACACCTGACACCTGCCTTTGCAGCGGGCCTGCCACGTGCCTCGTGCCCGAGCCTCACCTCGGTGACTTTCATTGGAGAGAAGCTTACGGAATCTGTAGCAGCCGACTGGGCCGGATGTCACGAGCATGATGGAAGACAACTGGCACCACCTGAAGTGTACAACACCTACGGACCAGCAGAGGTGACGGTGGTTGCTGCGCTCCGTCGACTGGATGCTCACGATAAACTTCAGAGCGCCAACGTGGGTGCGCCGATGCAAAGTGTGTCTGTCTTCGTCTGCAGAAATCGAGACCAGCCATTGCGGCCTTGCGGCAAGGGAACAGTCGGCGAGCTGGTGCTTGCAGGTCCACAGGTGGGTCGCGGCTACCTCGACGATCAGCAGAAGACCGAGGCTGCGTTCAAGTTCTGCCCAGAATTGCAGCAGCGCCTCTACTACACAGGTGACTACGTGCGAATGCTCCACGATGGCAGCATCGAGTTCATCGGCAGACGTGACGATCTCGTCAAGCTTGGCGGCATTCGTGTCGAGCTCAGCGAGATTTCAGCCGCTCTCATCTCCGTGCAAGAGGGGCGAGCAGGAGGGGTGGCGGAGCGAGCCGAGACAATGATGCTGAGCCGTCCTGATCGTCCTTCGAAGCAAGTGATCAGCTTCCTGGCTTGCCCTGACCTCGCTGCGGCTGTTGAGTCAAGGAAGGGCGAAGGTGATGCAAAAAGCCTCCTCTTGACAAGTACAGCGGCGTTGGAGCTGGCGCAGAGCACATTGCAACACGTTGGCGACGTCCTACCGCCGTACATGGTGCCATCGATGGTGCTCGTACTTTCCCGCATCCCGCAGACCGCCTCGGCTAAGATCGACCGGGCTCAGCTCCAGGCCGCTTATGCCTCTGCTGATCTTTCCTCGCGAGCCCTGTCGTTCTCCTCCCTGGTCAGCCCGCCGACGTCAACCGAGGAACAGGACGAGGCGTTTGTTTCACTAGAGCGGCGGATCATCACTTCAATCAGTGAGGTCACGGGCACTGCAACACCAGACATCAGCAAAGCAAGTTCACTGGCAAGCATTGGGCTTGACTCAATTCGAGTCATTCGTCTGGCTGCCAAGCTCAAGCAGGGTGGGATACCGGTTCAGATCTCAACGCTGCTAGCCTGCTCTATGGTGCACACGCTCGTCAAAGAGGTGCGCCGTTCCTCTACACGAAAGGGCGCACAGATGCGAGAGGATACACGGTCTCAGCTGCTCTCTGCCGAGATGAGCGAGTTCGACATCAGCGTCCGCAAGGTGTTGCCGTCGCGCCTCCAAGATGGTCTAGAGATCATCCTGCCGTGCAGCGGTCTACAGGAAGGCATGTTGACAGAAACCCTGTCAGATCCTCTGGCCTACTGGAGCGATCACCTTGTACGCCTCGATGCCAAAGTCGATCTCGGACGCTTTGCACATGCCTGGGAAAGGACGGTCAACAGCATCGACATGCTGCGCACTGTCTTTGCCATCGTATCTCAGACAGACGATCTCGAGGAGCCGGTGCGCTTCGATGGCGAGATCGATGTTTTCGCGCTGCAGCTGCTGTACAGGCACGCAGACACATCGTGTTTCGACTTCGATCCTTCGGACGCTCTCTCATCCGAGGAGGAGATCCATTGGGCTGTGTCAGAATGGAGACGTTCCGTCGCAATGGATCGTGTTGGCGTCTCCCTGGCCAAGCGCCCCTTGTGGGCAGTCAAGACTTTTACGATTGACAAAATCGCGTATTCGGCATTGTGTATTCACCATGCCTTGTACGACGGATCTTCAATCAAGGCCATTTGGGATCGCGTTCACGCCGAGTACGATGCACTTGGGTCAGGTCAGAGAGACGCTCTCCCGCCTCTCACGTCACTGCCAGCCCAATGCAAGTACGCGTTCGCATGCACCGCAGAAGAGCGAAGCGGAAGCTTACACCACTGGGAGACGCAGCTGGGAGCTCGCGGTCCGGCGACGCTGCTCCCCGATCTTACCAGTGTCAAAGTCTCTTCGGACGAGAAGGTAGCAGCTCAATTCGTGGCTGCCAGACGTTCGTTCCGGTACAAAACTTCTCGACCTCTCGCCGTAGGTGTTTCCACACTCATCAAGACGGCATTAGCGATGGTGCTGGGTCAGTACGCCGAGACCGAGGATTCGTGTCACATCGTCCTCGGAGAGGTCCTATCTCTGCGACACCTGCATACTAGTCTTTCGACCGAAAGGGGGGCTGTAGGCCCGCTTCTTACGACGCTCCCTTTCTCGTTGCTGCTCACTGCGGCTTCAAAGCACGAGTCAATAGTATCGATCTGCGAACGCGGAGCCATCGTTCACCCCTCGATCAAGCACCGATTCGCCCCTCTCGGAGCTCTGGCCAGAATCATGGGCACACGACAGGATCAAGAGATGTTCACTGCCATGTATGTCTACCATCAGTTCCGGCATCCGGACGGATCTGTACAGAAGGGGTCACCACAAGAAGAGCAGAGGTGGGCTCTGCTGGAGGAAAGAGAGTCAGATATCCGCGTCGAGCACAGCACGGTCCTCAATGTGCACGAGCAAGGCGAAACGGACGACGATGGCTTGCTACTGGAACTCTCGATGAAGGAGGATAGAGTCTCGAACGAGATGCTCGGGGTGTTGCTGGAGCAAGTTGTTTCTCTTCTCGACTTGATGATCAGCAATCCCGAAGAGACAGCTCACAGCTTGTTAGTGAAGGTCGGAGAGAGCAGCGGTCGCCTGTCTGCGGTCCATTCCGTATCTCGAGGCACCTATTCAGGGGGCAACGAGGGCACCGTGTACCGAGGTTACGATCCTCTACATTGGCTTGCTCATCATTCCAAGCATCATCCAACGTGGCCTGCGGTCATCATCGCCACTGGAAAGTCCGAGACTGGCTCCATCAACGAGGCAACCTTGTCGGCGTATACATACGCCGAGCTGAACGCCAAATCCGACCAGGTGTCGGTTTTGATCCGCTCGCTCGATCTGCCAGCGAAAGGACCCATCGCACTCTGTATGCGCCGGTCCCTGATCTCATTCGCGGTTACCGTTGCCATCTTCAAATGCGGGCGAACCTACCTCCCAATCGACGATCAGCTACCAGCCGAACGCAAACGTCTGCTCATCACCGACAGCAGCTGTGCTTTGGTCGTGACCGAAGGACACTGCCTTGGCGATGCCCAAGACGATTGTAAGTGCTTGGTACTGAACACCAGCGACGAAGATTTCGAACAGCGTCTGGCCGTCGCCCAAGAAAAGGGCACAACGACCAAAGATACGTCTGCGGGTGATGCAGCGTACCTGCTCTATACTTCCGGCTCCACTGGCAAGCCAAAGGGGGTGCTAGTGGGGCGGGCGAACCTCTGCTCCTTTGTCGAGGCCTACGCCGAAGTCGTCTGTGCCGAGTGTCCTTCTTCGCTACGACTGGGAGGTACAGGACGCTATCTGGGCTTGGCAGGCAGAGCATTCGATGTTCATCTATCGCAGATGTTCATGTCGTGGCGATTTGGAATGGCCCTTGCAACGGGTGAAAGGTCGCTTCTTCTCGGCGACCTCAAGGCTACGATCCAGAGACTGTCCATCACACACATGAGCTGTGTGCCCTCGCTGCTGGACCACTGCGACCTCGTTGCGGAAGAGGTGCCCTCGCTCGTCTTCCTCGGCGTTGGCGGTGAGAGGCTGACGGACCGTGTTCGAGACACACTCGCCAGCAAGCTCACTGTGCTCAACGCATACGGACCTACGGAGACGACCATCATGTGTACAGTCAATCGAGTGCACGCCGACAGCCATGTGCGCGACATTGGACACATTCTTCCCGGAAACACGGCCCTCGTCCTCGACTTCGACGACCGGGATCAGCCCTCTCCTATTCTACGCGGTCGAGCGGGAGAGCTGTGCATCCGCGGTGACCTGGTTGCCCTGGGCTACCATGCTCTCGCTCCCTCTCAACGCGCCTCGAGCGGGTTTGTGACTCTTCCGGACGGTACTCGAATGTACCGCACGGGCGATTCGGTGCGAATGATGGCAGACGGGCGCCTACACTACCTTGGCCGACGTGACGAGCAGGAAAAGATCCGCGGCCAGCGGCTCGAGCTTGGCGAGGTCTCGCAATGCGTCATTGCCGGTGCGGACGAAGAAGTTCATGCTACAACGCTGATCTTGCAGCATCAGCGTCTTGCGAAACCGCTCCTCATCACACTGATTGCACCCAAGTCCACCTCTTCTGCTACACGGAGGCGCGATTCGCTGCCATGCTTCCTTGATGCAGCCTCCGAGATGGTCCGGGTAGCTCAACGTGCGCATCTGTACTGCAAGCAGCATCTGCCAAGCTACATGGTGCCTGATCTGGTGGTGGCAGTATCGCATCTCACACAATTGGCCGCTTCTGGCAAGACGGACACGCGCGGACTCAAGGCATGGCTCGCATCCACAGACCCAGCGCAGCTTTTCCAGCTGCAGGAGAAGGCGAATACGAACGCGAGCTTTAACGAAGGCCTTCAAGTCGATGCGGAGCGCGAGCTTACTGTCTTGGAAGCTAAGGTTGCGCGTGCTGTTGGTCAGATCCTTCCACGGTGCCCAATTAAGCTTCGCCCAGCTACTTCGATCTTTGATCTTGGTATCGACAGTATCAGCGTCATTCGACTGGCCAGTCAGCTGCGCAAGTGCGGGCTGATAGTGCCAATAGCTCAGCTTCGCATGCGACCACGGATCCACCAGATCGCTTCTATGGCTTCAGCATTCCCCAAAGGCAATGGTGAGACGTCCGATCTCGACATCGACCTCTCCGTCGGAAGCGATGCGCTTGAAGCCTTTGGAGCGCGTCATCGAGAGCGCCTCCAGGCGACGCGCGCGGATATGCTAGAGGATGTACTGCCTTGTCTGCCCTCGCAGGAAGGCATGATTGCGCTTTCTCTGAGCGCTAGCAGCACCAAAACTGTGTATGTTGCGCGCATGAGGATCAGCTTGGACATTGGACGCTTACCGCAGGAGCGCTGTCCATCAGAAGAGACGCTCCGACGTGCTTGGCTGCGTCTTGCTCAGCGGCACAGCATCTTGCGCACGTGCTTTGACCATGTCGATGATGGCACGATCGCACAAGTAGTGTTGCAGCACGTCGATATCGAGCGACATTTGGTACACCCAAGTCCGGGCGAGCGGGAGCCAGCTACGCCCCTTGCGATCTTGCGTGACATCTCTGCTGTTCCTCCGTGGCGGATCGAGTTCGAAAAGGATTCATCCGCAGGAGCAGCGTTTGTCCTGTTCATGCATCACGCTCTGTACGACGGTCACTCGCTCGCTCTTCTGCTCGGAGACTTGACCACCCTGTTGCAAGAGGAGGATGACCAGTGCCTCAAAAGCGAGGGTCCTAGGATGCAGAACCTGATCGAGTCCATCCTGGCCGTCCCTGCTCAACAGGCTCAGATTTTCTGGTGCAGCGCTTTTGTCGACTACCCTGTCAACGAGCCGAGCGTGTGGGACCGCTTCGATCGAGTGTCAGCGCCCACAAGTGGCTCGAGCTCGGTTCGCTGCAAAGCCTCGCTGCAGCTGAAGCCTCTCGAAGCTGCCGCGCAAAAGCTGCAAGTTACGCTGTCTTCGCTGTTAGCGGCAGCTCTCGGCATAGCATTGAGCCGTTCGCTCGGCACTCCGGCATTCACGCTAGGCCACGTGCTCTGGGGCCGGTCGCTGGATCTTGCGTCTGCGGAACAGATCGTCGCTCCGTGCCTGACGACAGTCCCCATGCCCTTCTCTCTCTGCGCTGCTCGTGGCGCAGAGGACCTTGCTGACATTGTTCGAGCATGCTACGAATGGAACAGCTCCTGCCTAGCTTTCCAGCATACGTCGATGCGTCAGATTCGCAAATGGATTGGATCGGAACGGCAGGGGTCCATCGTGGATCTCCTGTTCAGCTTTATACAGTCGGACACGGATTCGAAGGCAAGAAGATGGCACTTGGATCAGATCGACGCAGACACCGATGCGCCTGCTGCCGTCGAAGTCACGGTCGATGCTGCTATCGACGAGCTGCGTATCTCGGCAATGGTCAAGCATGTCCTGCCCCAGGGCGGACTCGAAGCGATGGTCGAGACGCTCTGCTTGCTTCTCAACAAGATTGCTTCAGGTGCAGGTGCCAGAATGAGTCTCGAGGCAGCAGGGGTGCCGAAGCTGTCCTCTGCATCCATCGGGATGCCATACCGGAACGGCGCATCGAAGCTCGCAATGCGTCCGATGACCGAGGTCGAGGAGAAGATTCGGAACCTAGCTGTGGACATGTGCGGCGCGCCGTCAGCAGATTTGCTCCAGCTAGACACGCCCTTTTTGCGCATTGGCCTCGATTCGATCGTGGCTTTGCGCTTCTCGGCACGTTTGAGGAGCGAATGCAAGCTGCAGCTGAGTGCTCACGATGTCCTGACGTCAGGTTCTGTCGCAGGTCTATCGCAGCTACTCGATCAAAGAAGAAGCAGGACCAACGCAAGCGACACGGCCTTGCCCTCTCCAACAGACGCTACTTCACGCTACGAAGCTACGCCGTTGCAAGCCGGTATGCTGAACGGCACGATCGCCTCGCCAAACCACGACCTGTACGTTCATCACCACGCTGTTCTGCTGAACGAGGCGATGGACTACGATCGACTGCAGCGGGCTCTGCAGCGCCTGGTAGCAGCTCACGATATTTTGCGGACAGCCTTCCACCTCGAAGAACTGGCCGCTGGTCAGAAGCTCGCCGAACCGGGGCTGTTGTCGTGGATTGCCGAGGTGACGCCCTTTGACAAGCTGTCTCCACGTCCTCAGCTGTCCCATCGCCACAGCAACAACGCCCCATCGAAAGTACTGCGGGAGTACGGTGCAGACTTCCGCTTCGATCGTGCGGAACGGTTCAATGTCAGCCCATGGCAAGCTGCTGTGCTCCATTGTGCATCACAGGAAGATGTTCTTGTCATCTCGATGCACCACAGCCTGTACGATGGCGTCTCCCTACCGTCGCTGTTTGCAGACATGAAAAAGGTGTACCGCGACGAGACAGCCGAACTGATGGTGCGCCAACCCTTCTCTTTGGCGGCAGACCTGATTCGTTCCACCGCACAAGAGTCGAAGCAGTACTGGCAGCAGACGCTCACCAGCTTCGATCGACCGAGTTTGCTCGTTCAGGGGTCCGCACAGGTAGAAGCACTGGCTACAGCTCCGTATCGGCTGGACGAAGTACGACTTCCCATCACGGCGACCGAGTTGAAGCAAAGGAGCGCCGAGCTGGGAACGGCACCGCAGGCAGTGGCGTTGCTTGGATGGGCCAAAGTCCTGGCCGTCTGTTCGGGCCAGCGCGATGTTTGCTTCGGTCAGGTCGTGTCAGGTCGCTATCTCACTCTGCCGGGGATCGAAGACATCAGTGGACCGCTCATCAACACAGTGCCGATCCGGGTGCGTTTGGAGGACGATCTCTCCTCGAACGCTGCAGCGGCTCGAGATCTGCACAAACGCGTTCTTGCTGCGCAACCTTTCCAGCATGCGTCGTTGGGAAGCATCCAGAATGCTTGGAAGCGAGAGCATGCCGCCTACAGGACACTGTTTGATAGTCTGTTCGTTTTTCACAACGTCTCGGGCAAGTCGCAGGCCGCGCTCGACGGCACTGCGGAGCTGTGGACTGGAATCCAGGCGTCCGAAGGCTCGCCTGCGATGACAGAGGGTGAAGTCAAGACAGCCTCAACATCAACTTCCGAATATCCCGTCAACATTTCCGTCATCCAGGACGACCGAGGGATCGTCATCAAAGCGGGAGCCAGCGATGCTGTTGGCGGTGCTGGCTGGCTTGCCACGACGCTGCAAATGTTTGCCGAGGTGCTTTCGGACCTTTTGCACCGGCCTCATCGACCTGTAGGGGCTTTCCCAGAAGCTTTGGCAGCACTTCCTCTGGCGACACCTGCGGATGGACGGGCGCAAGAGGCCGACAATCGTATGGAAGTCGGCGATGGGCGTCGCAGATTGACCAGCGAAGAGCAGAAGATCGTGCTGCGTCATTTTGCAAGGCGCCTGAACGCGGAAGAGGGTGCGATTGTGGCCTGCCCGAACCTTTTCTTGCTTGGCATCGACTCGCTGCTAGCCATTTGCATTTCTGCAGATGCTCGCAGCGAGGGCGTGTCTCTGACGCCATACGAGGTTCTCTCAGCCGGAACGTTTGCCAGACTGACCGTACTTTCAAACACGGCGGAAGAGAGCAGCGCAAGCGAATCAACACGGCCCGCAAAACAAGAGTCAGTAGAACTGGTGAGCAGCGAGGTCAAGCAGGAAGCAGCTGTGCTCCTCAATGTAGCAGCAAGCGAAATCGAGGCGGTACTACCTGTCTTGACCGGGCAAAAGCAGCACATCAATCTCTGGCTGCAACGGGGTCGAAGATTCCTGGAGCCTACATTTGTGTACGCCACGGAGCACAAGCTCGACGCGCCCAGGCTCGCGTCTGCCTGGCGCGAGCTGTGTCGACGCAACGCAGCTCTTCGCACCGCCTTTGTGCGCTCCAAGGCGAATAGGACGGTCGTGCAGGTGGTGTTCAAGGAAGCCTGTACGGTGTTGCGTCACCACGAGCGCTCCAAGCTGGCACTGGTTGACGGCGGTGACGATGTGGATTCAGCGGCGTTTGAAGCCGTTAAGAGGCTCAATGCGTCTCCCAGCGATCTTTCACGGCCATCGGTGCGGCTGACGTTAGTACAGGGAAAGCAGAAGGACCTTGTCTTGCTCACCGTCCATCATACAAGCTACGATGCTTGGAGCATACGCTTGATGGCGTACGAGCTGACACAGCTCTACCGCAACATCGAGAAAGACGGCATGAGGTTCATACCGGATCCTGTCAGCTGGATCCGCTTCGTCGAGCAGGCGTCGGGGGATGCACTTCGATCCCAGGTCGCAAACAAGGCGCTTTGGGACAGGATCTTGTGCGGCGCTTCACCAACGCTGGTCTGCAGAGGAGTACAGCAGTCGATCGAACAGACCATGCATGTTCGGAAAGCTGCCTTGAAAGAAGCAGACGTCTTGGATGCTAGGTGTCGAACGCAAGGTGTCGGGCTGCAAGAGGTGGTCATCTTGGCGTACGCACGTCTCCTTTCGTCCCTCGCCGGGAATCGCCCGCTGGACTCACCAACGTTTGGCTTCTACACAGCAGGAAGGTCGAGTGCGTTCGACGGCCTTGGGGCGCTGGTGGGGCCAACGACGGCCATGCAGCCAATGACGGTGGCTGTGGGAGCTCAAGGTAGCGGGGACCTGCTCGGACAACTCAGGAGGATCCAGAGACAGCTCGTGCAGCGATCAAACCATCAACAGGATGACGTGGTCTGCCCGGTGGCCTTCGATGCACACCTCAACCTGCTGTGGCACAAGCCAAACATCGGGACCAAAGATGATGGCGAAGTCGGAGAGAAGAAGGCGCTGCTTAAACCACACCGGCTGCCCCACGACAGTGGCTACTTTACGCGCCATCCTCTGATGCACGGCAAGACCAGTGTGGACTACGACCCCTCGGACGCTGCAGTCCCGTCGGAGGGCACAGCGCAGCTTTACATGGACGTTGGCCTGGATGCAAAGACCGGCGCGCTCTCATTGGGAGCGCGCTGTGATCGATCCGCCATGGAGACACAACGCCTCGAGGAGATTTGCGATGCATTCGTCGTCGAGCTGGAGCAGTTGTGTGCCAGCTTCTGATGTCGTGTATGGTCAAGACATGTGTGACCAGTAAGCCACCGGAAGTGTCCGTTCCAGGTTTCGCTGTACTCAGACTCGCTGCAATAGCATCAAGAATCTATTCCCCGTGCTACCCGTTCGACACTAACGCCGGCGAGTCTGCGGCTGCTTCCTCCTACCGGAAGAATGAAGTTTGAAAAAGAATGAGCTGAAGAGGTCTGCGCCGTACCTGTTAGCCGGTACAAGTGTCAGTTGAGTTCAGGCTTTGCGTGTTCACGTCTTGCAGGTCTCCGAAATACGTCGCGGTAGACAATGATTGCCGAGGTGATACCAGCTAAGAGCACTGCAAGGCCCTGGGAGCCGAGCTCCGCCTTGTGGATAGCTTCATCGCTCGAGGGATAGTCGAATCGTTGGAGGATTGATTTGGGTAAGAGAGGAATGAGCATGGCAACGGCAAAGAGAAGACCTTGACAAGCTCTCTGCACAGGGATCGCGAATCCGGCATAGGTATGGAAGCGTGCCCAAGTCCGATGCGCAGCATAGTTGCCCTGTCGCGCGTGAGCGATAGTTTTGTAGCCCGTGATCACGACCAAAAATCCGATCATATCGGTCATGCTGGCAAAGCTTGGCCACAGCAATGCGGTTGTGCCATCGAAGCGCAGTTTGTGGAGATGACTCCAGTCTTTGTGGCGGAACGAAAGCCCCTCCTTGCGAAGGAGTGACCAGCCAGATAGGCTCAAAAGTGTCGAGACTCCAAGAGTGATACGTCCGAGGACACGGTGGGCGCGAGGATACACCTTGCGAAACTTGTTGGGTTTGGGTTAGGGTTACAAGGCAAACCCAGGG